TCCGGCACTGCTGCGCTGCACCTCTGCTGGACGCGCATTTTTGCTTCCCGACTTCCTGGACGGCCACGCCGCTTCTGGTCCTTTGCCTAGGGGTTGTTTGATTATTTTCGGTCCCTCGGTCCACGATCGGGTGGAACTATTTGCACCCATGCCATCTACGCAGTAGAACGAACGGAAATGGGTGGCCATGCGCATTACAGCCGACCCATTTTGGCATGTCACAGACTGTCCGTCCTCGTTGCCGCCGTGGGCGCGCGGGTCCTGCGCGACTGATAGCCGAATCAATGGCCACGAGGCCATCCACCTTTAAATGACGACGGCGTGGAACATGTGGTACGACAAAGTTCGGGGGCCCAAAGAGACCAGACCAAATGCAGAGAGAAGGGGGAGGAGAAGAACCTGATGAAGAGAAAAGAAGGCTCGTTCGCCTATGATTAAGCAATACACTAAGGTAGTCTCTTTCCAACGTAAACCTACAAGCATGTCCCGTGAGAACGCCCGAATGTGGGAATACCCGTCCGTATCTTGTAATGTTACGAAAGATGGATGAATATGCCGGATACGCCCCCCTTCCTCCGTTCTCCCCGGCCAACCCCCTTCTCGCCCCGCCGTAGACTGCTAAATGGTTGGTTTAACCTACGGATACGCATGCAGGGCCGGTAAGGGAGATAGATGAACGAGACGAACCAACAAACAGAACAAAACAAGCCTGGACAAAGACCACGCAACTCCTCGAGGCTCAAGCTTTACACCACTGACCACCCAAGAAACAAAATGTGTAGTCAACAATCCCACCCATCCACGCGTCAACTACTACGCAATAAGAGTTGCATGTATGTAACATGGCTCTCGGACTCTTTCGCCCCCCCCCCCCCCCACTTACACCCCCCACCCCCCAAAAAAAAAAAAGTGTTATCCAAAAACCCCCCCCCCCCCCCCCCCAACAACCCACAAAAAAAATTTCATGTATGTAAAAATGCCCCCCGGCCCTTTCCCCCCCCCCCCCCCCCCCAACCAGGGAATCAAGTGATCTGCGAAACAATCGCAACTCTGCGGTTCTGCCCCCTAGATTGACAGGTAAAATCGTAGAACAGACCCCGCCATAGCCTAGAGAGCATGAACAAGCAATCATACCGGCACCGATGTCTTACAGGGGTGGCAGGAGGTCCTTCAACACTTGCACACGGGCCCGCGCTACGTCGGACCCTTGCTCGCCCTCGCCCATCAACACCATGATCTTGATCATTTTTGCTGCATCACGTTGATTAGCACACAGTGGACATGAAGCCAGGGAGTGAGAAAACACAAGTCACAGAATGACGGAAACGAGAAAGAGAGAAAAGACAGAATAAGGGGGGTAAAACAACTCACCAATGTCGCTCCTAGCCCTCTGGAACAACGGATCCCGATCCGCCTCCTCCGCCGCGACAGGGTCCTTGCCCATCTCCCGCAGCACGCTCCCGATACACAGCGCCTCGAGGAACGCGCGGTGGTTGAAAACCCACCACACCCTCGCCTCGAGCTCAAAGATGTCAAACAGCAGAAAGAAGGACGTAATCGCCTCGTGCGCCGCCTCCAGCGTGCCCCGCGTGTTCGAAGGACACTCTGCGCTCTCGGACGCGTACACGAGCATGATGTTGTGGTGATAATTGCTCGTCAAGAACAGCGTCTGCCTCACGACGCGCTTGTTCGTCCGCGCGAGGCTCGCGAGGCTCTCGGCGTCCCAGGACCGGAAGACGTCCGGGAAAGAGCGGTAGACGCAGCGGAAGTCGGCGATGAGCTTGGACTTGTGGCGGACGGTGGCGCAGATGGGGAGGTCTAGAGAGCGCGGGGAGCAGATCGTTTCCTGGACGAGGTTGGCGAGGGTCCAGGAGCCGCGGATGTAGGCGATGTCTGTCGGGTCCGAGGAGGCGATGGCGGAGCCGTCGTCGACGAGGTCTTCGACGGAGACGTCGGTGTGGGTCGCGGACGGGGGGAGGGAGAGGAGGACTGTGAGGAAGGTGTCTTGGAGGAGGACGGCTTGCCAGAGTTTGCGGCGTTGTTGCTTTTCGAAGATGGGGGCGTCGGGGGTTACTGTGATGGTGTTAGGTTTTGGTGCTCTTTGGTAGTGATTTGAACGTTCGTACCGATATTGGGGTCACGATGTAGACCCATTGCGTAGGCCTGCCGGATGAGTATGCCGGCAAACGCCCACCCGTCCGAGGCGTGGTTGTCGTTGATCAGGAAGTACGTCAACCTGGTCCAGTCAGTACCAACTTTTCTCAAGATGGCTACACGCAGATTTCACGCAAAAAGGGGGCTCACTTACAACACCATGGACTGGATAGAGCGCAACGAAGCAGCACTCAAGTACGAAAACATGCGCAGCGCCTGGTTACTCGCCGACGCGTAAAACTCCGCCGTCTGCTTCGCATCGTTTGGCGAACTCGACGTCACGAACTGCGTGCCCAGCGCGAGCATCACAAAGATGAGCCCCACAAACGCCGCATCGACGCGGTTCTTCTCCTCGGCGCTGAGGCTCCAAAAGTGCTCATAGTCGGCGTAAAAGGTCTGCCGGTGGATCATGGGGTAGACCGGGTCGACGCACTCAAAGTACTGCGCCAGCAGGATGTCGGCCTGGACTTTCTCGGGCAGGACGGAGATGACCTCGGGCAGGCCGCCCTCGCAGGTCCAGTAGTTGGCAAAGGGGTGCTCGGAGCCGATGCCGAAGACGTTGCTGGCCGTGGGGAGGGAGTAGGGGACGTTGGAGAGGAGGCCCGTGGAGGAGGAGAAGGCGACGGAGCCGACGGAGCCGCGGGAGGTGAAGCCGCGGCCTTCGATGAGGCCTCTGTCTGCTACGTTTGGGATGGTGGAGATGTCGCCTGGGCCTTTTGGTTTCGGGGGTTTCGTCATGCGGCGACCGTTGGCGAGGGATCTGGTTGTTTCTCTGCTATTTTGTTAGTTGTGTTTCGAGGGTCTCGGCAATAGTCGCGAGAGCTGTGTGAGTGTGCTTACTCGAGTATCGTCGCTACAGCCGCATATTGGCATTCCGTCTGGCGTTTGATACATGCTAGGCAGTTGGGTCGACCTCGGTCACACTGCGTGCGTGTTAGTATGAGCGTTGGCTTAACTTGGTGGGTTTGACAGGCCTGCTGCTTCCACTTTGAGAGCAACAGCACTTAATCCGACGAGGTTAACATCGTATGCATGCCATGTGTCAAGCCTGAGAGCATCAAATATCGTATCCCCACGTCGTGCAAGTAGCATCATGTGCCCAATGATCAAGAAGACCTCTTGATATGACATTGAACTTTAGTCGCATTGGTACACTCGAACCAACAGCACAATTCAGTGTGGGGGCATAAGCACGCAATGATGAGAAATCAGATCAGATGAAAACACCGAGTGAGAAAAACAAGGCATGAAGCATAGATGACAAAAACACGGGCAGTAAAATAAAATGAAAAATGAACAGAACGAACCTTTGTCTTGCGCTCAACGCACTCAAAGCACGACAACGTAGGCTTATTCCGCTTCTGCTTCTTCCTCGCAGGGCCCTTGTCGCCGCCGTCATCGGGGCTAGCCGAGTTGCCGTCGACGCTCTCATCCGGGTGTTGGTGATGAGTTTCGTTGCCGTTGCCGCTGCCGTTGCCGTAGCTTTTCGGTGTCGCCGTTTGCTGCCGCGCGACGGGCGTCGAGTACGACGGTCCCGATGCCGCTGATGTCGTCGGTGAGAGTGCGGCAGCTGCTACTCCTCCGTTTTGTGGATGAGTGAGTGATGGTAGACGCCCATGTTCTGGTACTGGCGATGCGTAGGCTGTTGAGGCCGAGCTCGGCGTGAAGGGTTGCGGCTGGGGATGTGGGAGATGATTTTTGGGCGCCATGACGGGCGGTGGGAACGTTGTGCGCGTCTCAATTGAACGACTTGAAGGTGTGAATCAACGATTGAATTACGTTGTTAGATGAGCGGCCGGTGCCAAGACCGGTTTGATGCCGACTGTCAATGGCGCCGCGAAGATGAGTGAACAGGCAGTCGAATCAATTCCCGCTGCTTGTTCCCGCTTGCGGCACGCCCACGGCGATGCTTCACCGAAAGAAGCTCAATTGAGCCGGCGGTTAACTGTCCGGGCGGAGCGTCGTAAGAGAGTTTACGGGATAATTGGACACTGTGACCGATTCGAACAATTAGATTGCCCGGACGTCGCAACCGGCCGGGTTGGTTGAGAGCTTTCCAATGCGGTGCCTCCGTTTCCGCCGGGAATAAAGGCCAAGATTTGAAGAAGCGGAGGACAGACGGAGTGGATGAGCAACAACTCGGCGCGGCGGCGGCGGGCTTTGCGCAAAGTTTCCCGGGAAAAGTATAGTGATTTGATCCGTGTCGGTATCGGTGTCGCCGGTGCTCAAAAAGGCCGGAGGGATGTGTGTGTTTGCGCGGTGTTGCGCTGGGAATAAACAGGTGATAGAGGCAGTGTGAAATGCGGCGCGGCGGCGGCGGCGTCACACACAACGAAGGGGGAGATTACGATGGGAATAAGGAGGGAAACAAAAGGGAAAGGGAGAGAACGTGCGGAACGCGGCGGGAATTGGGAATGGGAGGGGAAACTCTTTGGGACTCTCAGCCTGGCCGGGACTGGGGCACTTGGCCGGGAGCGACACGGCGGAACGTCTCGCTCTCTTTCTCTCTCTCTCTCCAACAAGGGCACTCGAAGAAAAGAGGGGAAACGCCGTTCACTAGGTATCCGACGAGCTAATCCAGGTCATGAGATTGAGCAACCAAAGTTCATATTGGAATCAACAGCTTCATCAACGTAAAGCCTTGCCTTGAACGTCTTGAACCAATTCCATTACTTGGTACCGGTTCCCAGGTTCCATGATCCAACACGATGGATGACCAATTCACTCACGGAGGGAAATCCGCCATCGATGGGGGCAAAGAACGAATACGCGCAGCATCAACGCGCCCGCCCGCCCCTTGATCATTGCAACGGGCAATACAACCCCCAGCCGTCCCATCTTCCAGGTTACCTTACCTTTGCCTCTCCATCATCCGCCTACCATCGGATCTGATAAAAACGTTGAGCGGGAAGACACCGAGGTGAGGACCCGTACCCGCGGTTCATGGCCATACAGCAAGACCTGTGTACGAATACAGCAAACCCTCCTCTTGGAAGCCCATCCATCCAAGAGGCCAAGCCCCCGAATCCAACTGCCGGCCGGTCAACGGCGCAAGGCTTGCTTCTGTGTTGCCTGCTTTGATCATTGATGGCTGGGGGTTTCTTTTGATCCAGGCAAGCAACTCAACCACTCAATCCATCCTTGGTCCCTCCACCCCACCCACCACCTCATGGGCTCTCCCCATGGCATGCTACAGTGGTGGGCAGATCAGCACTAAACCACGCTGGGGGGCAAAAAGGCTTGTCTTGTCTCGGGCCCCAGAAACCCAGGTCAGATTCGCCGGGAAAGCCTCCCCGAGTGCCGCCATTCCACCATTCCATCATGCAGACGGGTGTGATGCCAGTTCCAGGACCTGAATCATACGAACCCTTGACATTTCTGAAATATCCTGTATATCCGTAAATACGTTGGGTTGATAACAAGCTCAAGAGCCTCGCCCCTGAAGAACTTGAGCTTCTTGACTTGCTTCGTGAGAGGGTCAGAGAAAGAGAGAGCTGGTCAGACGCAGGCACTGCGTATCCTAGGTGTAGACACCATTCGCGGCACGGAACAAGCTCTACATTCTCAAAAGAACGGGTAGCTTTGCATAGCATCCTGCTAGAACACCACGATGTCTTATCCAATGCGCAGATATCATTGACGGAATGGATCAAGGTGAATGAGAACGAAATGCAGCATCCAATAGATCCATTCTCATGCGTCCTCTCTCTCTCTCTCTCTCTCGCAACTGCACAGATATGCTGCCATGCTTCTTTTGCCTGCCGCGAACTCCCCTGCCCCAGTGGAGTTTTCCTCTCCCCATCTGCGCGTTCGCACTTCTACCCGAACATCGACGTCACCAGTGCAACCAGAAAGCGCCCCCAACTGTCAACCAGAAACCCTTTTCGACAATGACCTCGTCTCGAGTGCCACAGCTTCAATATGAGCCCCTTACTCGCAGCCTTCTGCTTCCCAGGCTCTTTGTCTCTCAACAGCTCTGACTGGCAAAAGACCACGCTGAGGCTTCAGACGACATCCACCTCGGCTCTCTTGCGAATCGCGCCTTGACCCCAGGAGACCGCCGATGTCGCCTGCCGGTTTTTCGGGTACGCGACCCCTGCGAGATAGAAAGCCCACACAAAGCGGCCGCCCGGCTATGCGTCCGCCCTCTGGGATCACGGACTTTATGAATAGACGAATAGCAGATGCAAGCATCCAATCACAAGCCGCGTCGATGGTTTAGTGGTAAAATTCTCCGTTGCCATCCAGCAGCGTCGGGGAGCCGGGGGTTCGATTCCCCCTCGACGCATTTCTTTTGCGATGTATCCCATTTTGGTACTATAGGGATACCCTATTTCCTCTTTTGCCTCTCTTCGTATATCTTCTGCATCTGTAGTCTTGTATTGAGTGAATGGTGGGCCTATCGTCACCTTGAGTGCATGTTGAATCCGGGTGGCCGAGTGCTGAATCCTCATTTACTCATGCCCTTTATATACGTGGTTTATTGGTAGAGACGCCAATTTTGCTAATTGTTGTCAGCTGCTTCTGGTCATGGAAATATTCAACACTACCCAATTACTAACGTTGACTCGGATTCGTATGTTTTGTTGGTTGTGCTCAAGACATCGACATGCAACTGAGAGTCACAACAGCGGCAGGCATCGTCCAAGAGACAGCAGTTTTCTTTCTACTCAACTCTCCTTCATCAAGTCTCTATCCGCTACCCAGGCCTGGGAGAAGCCTCGAGCGAGGCCTGTCTGGTACATTGCTTATCCTCAACCCGCTGTCCATCCACCAAAACACCATAAAACCAACACAGCAAAACCCATCAATCAACTGGAGGCATAGAACAACTGAAGCCGCAGCACACCTTTTCAGAACAAAACTCGCAATAAATGGGGGAGTTCCTTTCGCTTATCCGTGGCTGTCCCCTCACTCCAGCCCCTTTGAGAAAAATGAAATCCCTTTTCCACTAGGTAACCGGTAACCCTGTTCCAGCACTCCATCCATCCGTCTCTCGTCCTCCATTATTTTTGACATCCCAAAGGCCGTATTCTCATCTACCATGAACCCTTTCACTATATTCCCAAACTCCCCAAATGCCATATGTGCTGTGCCGCGCTGGCCAAGGTCTAACCAAAAATCAGAGCGCAAGTCCTGTACCATCGCCGGTCCACCGGTACAGAGCAAGAAGTTCCCGTCGACGCTGGTGCTGCTCATGGAGATCCTCCGGCACCCGACCCCTGACCTGCGCCAAAGCACTTCGCATAACCTTGCTAAAGTTGCGCTACAAAGGGAGAATAGTTAGCACCCAAGTCTCTCGAGCACGGAGAAGACATGGGGGAAAAGAGAAAGAAGCTCACCTGATACTCTGTATTCAAAGTCACAACGCAGGCCTCGTGCGCGCGCACAATCGTCTCGCACGCCTTGACGACACTGGGCGACGCCTCAAGCTGCAACTTATCCGCGATAAGGAGCAGCAAAAACGATCCTTGGAGCAAGTAGATACCGAAGAAGAACGGCATGAACTCCAAGCCCGGGTCGAACTCGAGAATGTGGCTGATAGCTTCGGCCGCCGAGACAGCGTGGCCAGTCGCCGTGATGAACCCTTGCGACGAGATCCAGAGGTCGTTGTCATCGATCAGGTTGATGGGGTCCCATTTGCCCGCGAGCAGAATGTGCAGCACGTGCATCACGTGCGTACCGTACGCCATAACGATCTTGGTCTGGATGTCGCTCTCCGTCATGCGGTTGAGGGATGAAGAGGCGGTTGTGTGGACGGAGTGGACAGAGGGCGTGCCAATGTCAGCAATCGGACCGTGGTCTACGCTACCACCCTCAGGATTGACTACTACGTCGCCGTTATCATCGAGGTTCATGTTGTTGACCCGCGTGAGATGAAGCTGCTCGAACCGCCCGAGGCTCTTTTCATAAGCCTCGAGATGGCGCGTGATCTCGCTGGCTTGATCGTCCCACTCGCGAGCCGAGCGGAATCCCACACCGAACCGCGGATGGTTTCTGGCGTGGTGGAGGTCTACGATCTCACCCAGGATCGTCATGAGCGGCAGGAAGTAACCGAATATGCTGTGTCCCGTACACTCAAAGTGCGGACCGCGCACGCGGCCGCTCGATACGCCGCCGGCACCGGTTGAGGCGTCTCCGCCCAGGCTAGGGTCTGTCGTGACGTGCGCGGGTCTGAACTCGCCATTCTGCCACGCCGTGTCGTCCATCGGCTGCAGCAGACCGGCGCACTCGAGGTCGAGGAGGAATAGCGGCCTGTTATAGCACAGGGCTAGATGGCGGTCGACGATGTACGTGAGCCACCATATCCTTCGGCGCTCCTCGCGCTCCTCCTCCGTGATGACGCCCGGGTGCCCGCTGCCTGCCAAGTCATCCTCAACCTCGCCGTCTGCGCCATCACCATCGTGCCCGTTGCTCTGGTTCATGGAGAGAGGGGTTGGCGGCAGTTCACGGCCGAGCTTCAGCTCCCTGGCCAAAGACCAGGCCGCATTCCACCACCGCAGGCTCGCGCCCTTGTACTCGCTCGCGGAGACGACTGTCGCGAGGTGGATGTAGGTAATGACATCGTCGAGGGTGCCGGCGGCTCCGAATGGACCAGATTCGCCCGTCAGCGCGTCCATGCTGATTGACCCAGGAAGCGCAACGCCGAGCCCGCCAAGTGCTACGCCATCGATGGCGGGGCTGGTCACCGGTGATGTGTCCCCGGAAGGTGTATGAATGAGCGGCTTGAGAAGGCTGACGGTCAGCTCCAGCAGCCTCTGGCAGATCTTGCCCCGTGCTGAGGGGACGCTGGTCAGGAAGGGTGCATCGCTCGTCTGGGCTGCCACCCAGAGTATGCTGGCTAGCAGAGCCGGCTGGCATCGTCTCGGTTTGCTGGGGTGGAGGAAAGACCTCTTACGGAAGACGAAGCCCAGGACGTAAGGTGACATTGGGTGCATCTGTGCCGAGGACGAGGATGCGAAGTAGAGGTCGATCAGGTCGCATGCCAGAGCCGCCGGGATGAGGTTTCCAAGATGGGGCATCAGAGGATGCAGGACCGGGTATCGTAGTTGCTGTTGACCGGGGTGGCCGTAGCTGCTCGGAGGCATATGAGACTGGTATTGCGCCGCCGGCGGAGAGGACATGGACATCCACCCGGGAGACGTCGGCTCACCACCGAGGGGGTATGCACTGATCGGGCTGGCTGCGATGCGGAATGACGCGCCGTTGGTATATGCCGTTGGGCTCTGGGTCTGCATGGGATACGGTATTTCGGGATATGCTGATATGCCACCCTGATTTGGACCGTACGCTGCGTGGGCCGGTCCCGGCATTATGTGTGCGCCCAGGCCTTGCCTGTCGTATCCTCCGTGGACGCCCCCGTAGCCGTTGAGATCCATGGTTGTTGGGCTTTCGAGTTGATCTCTGTCCATCCCGTGATGAGCTGCCAGGTGGGCTTGGTGGCTCACCATATCTCCCATGCTATCGAGTGAGCCGGTCCTTTGGCTTTGATGCATGGCTTCCTCGCTGAGCTCGTCGATGGCCTTGCCGATGTGGCCGTGTTGAGAAGTCGTCGTGCCTAGTGATGGTGCTGCCTTGGCGTTATTGGACTCGGATTGCTCCGAAGGCTGCCCATTGTCGTCGGAAGGCGATTTCGGGCACTGTTCTGCGCCCGTTGTGCCTGCTTGCGCGGCGGCTTGCGCGGCAAGGTCTTTTCGTGATGCCTTGCCTCTCTTCTTCCTCTCGCGGATGTACTCGCAGCCCAATCCGAATTCTGAAAACATGTCAGTCAGTCTGGTCCAGTCCAGCCCAGCTCCCCCACGCCACGCCGATCATCTATTCAACTGATTCTTTCTTACCTACACAGTGGGCACAGGGATGTTGCCCATCGCACTTTGTACGCAGCTGGTTGCACTGATCACAGGCTCGACTGATTCTCCTACGAACGGGGCCGGATGTGCTAGAAGAACGACCCGCGGGTCCGCCGCCGTATGGGTGTTGACGGTGTTTTGTTGACTGAGGGCCTGCTCGCGCGAGGTGTGGGCTGTGGACTCCCCCAACCTGCTGTTGAATCTGTTGCAGCGCATAGTGCGAGCTCGGCGCGAGGGGGTCGACACCATTCGCGTGGGCATGGCCGTTGGGAACATGGTGGGCGTTGGAGAAGAGGGTGCTGGACTGCATGCCATGGTATGGCGAAAAGCGGTGGAGCGGGTTGGACAGCATCTTGTCTTCTTCGTGCTGGGACCAAGCCCGCTGTTGGCGATGTAGTGGCTGAATGGTGAAAGTGCTACTCGAACAACGAGCAACTATCTGCCTTCTCTCATGCAGATAGAGACGTGAAAAAGACTGCGAGATGGGCGACTGGAAGGATTCGAAGTGGTTAGACGAGTTATGTCAACCAGCTTTGGGCGATGTTGCTCCCTTAGACTGGGGCAAGCGATAGATAATATGCGAGCCTCCAATAACACAAGGTGACTTCTGCTTCGGTCAGCGCTGCTGTAGGCCGTTTAGGATAGTTGGGGGCGCAAAAGGGGGCGGGACGGAGAAGAAGGATGGGCATGGGGTATAGTAATATGAGCTAAACTGAGAACAAGTGGTGGGCGTGAGATCTGCAACGTTGTTGGAGAACGGCGCAGCATAGAGCAACGACAATCATGGCGGGGTTGATGTACAGACGGCTTGGGTGACAGGGTAAGGAAGACGGGACAAGCGACAGGGTGCTTGAAGGAGTGCGGCGCAGAAGATGATTGAGCGAAAGAGAGCTTTCTGTGAAAGTGGAATATTGGGACCGAGACCCAAGTTAACTCACCCCTTGGAGATCAACCCGTGAAGTTTATGAATGTCGGTCGTTGCCGCAATTGGGGGAGTTCCAAATAGTTGAGTCGTTTGGTTGCGTCCCGTGTCTCGCGTGTTGTGCTGCGGCGGGAAGGGTATCTTGAACCTTTGGTTGGTAAATCCAAGTGCGAGGTAGTAATATCAAGGCAATTCGGAAGCTTGAAAACAGTGGTTATTCCGAATCTGTATCACCAGGATTGTATGCGACGTTGATGTTCGTTTCGGTGGTCTGGCTCGGAGCTCTCCTCCCTTCAAGTTCTCGATGTCCACTGCGGCTCTCTTCGACGGATGGCCTGCGCTCGAAGCTTGGCACGTATGTAGAGATGGTTCAATAGAACCTGAATGCTGTTCAAGCCGTTGAGTTACTGCTCAGTTTAGCTGGTCCGCTTGCTGTATGATAACGTGGACCATCGCATTTACATTGGTAGAATACTGTAAACGGCGGGATAAAAGGGCGAAAGGTGTGGAGGAGGGCGGCTGGTGACAGACAGGGCGGCGGCCGCAGAAGCAGCGAGAGGATGGATGTATGTACGGGGCACGCGCGAATGATTCGAGAAGAAAATTAAAATTGAGAATAGGATGCTCAGCGGCAGCGCATGCGCATGTACAGAGAGACGTACAGACGTACCAACGGCGCGTCAGGTAAGGTTCTCGAAGGGGGAGAAGAAGCGAGATGGTGACTTTGTGGTTCCTCGGGCTTAGCTATATTATATGGGACGCTTGTACATAATAGCATGCGAGGACGGGGCAGGGTTGCAATGAGGGGAACAGGGGTGATGGCTCGACGATGGGCGACAGTAAGGTGAGGAGCAACGAACGGCATCGAGAGGAAAACTGGCGACGGGCGGCCATTTACGGGTGTGAATGTGGAGAATCAACGAGCATCTTTGGGCGAGGAACAGGGCCACATGCCCCAAAAGATGCTGCGCCGGTCTAGAACGACGGGCTCATCCCATCCATGGTCCATCCTCCTTCTCCCTATGATGGATCATCTCGTCCTGGTTGGAGCGACGGGGTTGTATGAGAGAGTGTGTGTGGCTCAGCATTGGGTTCGGTTGGTTGATCAACAATAGCAGAACAAGGTGAAGGTTAGAGCCAGCCCGGTGAGGGTGATGAACGCGTTTCCGGTCCATTCCTCTGGAAGGATCAAGGCATGACATGGCGGTGACAAGACGGCATGGACTGTCATCAAACCTTTTCCTCCCCACCGGGACAGGATCCCCACTGCTTCCATGGTCTTGCTCGGCTTTGTTTTTGGCCTGCCTCGGGACAATTACCTAGTCACAACATGGCAGTCACTGTTGCTTGGGTTAGGACGTCGGCCGAAGATAGCGTGGTGTGGCAGCTGTACTCCGTACGAAGTAGCGAAGAGGGCGGGGGTGTTGGCGCGGCACATTTTGGGCTCTGGGGGTAAACGAGGAGGTGGGAGAAGAAGATGGGGAATCGTCTCTTGGAAGCTTGAGTCTCTCTCGCTTTCTCCAGTCTTCAGGCTCGTCTCCAGACCTCCACCGGCGCGGCCCCAAAGTGGGCTGGGAGCAACAAGCTTGGTACGCTGGACTGTGCCATCCCGGCCAATAATGCCATTCGGCTTGGCGGAAGGCTATCTTTGCTTGTTCAAGTTCTCGTTCGGTCTGAGTGCAGCCGAGTAGCAGACGCACCGCCGTTGTTGGAACCAGTCTCGTTGGTCCGGTATAGCGACGAACACGCGGCCTCTCCCTCTGGCGTGCCTTGTACATAGGGCTTTGGCTTGCCCGCCCCCGCCGGTCTTAGCGGTTTGGTCTCTCATCCCTATGTATAGCGAAGTGCCGATATAGGTACAGAATTGTGTGGCGTTGTTCGCTGCTACGACGAAAACGGCAGACGTGAAGAAGGTCCGGCCATTTCGGAGCTACTCGTCGGTCGTCTAGCTTTGAGGCGCTATATGTGCCTTTCGTTATGCTTTCTATAGACGGGGTGACGGAGTCGAGCTTCCTTTCCAACATCTGAACCAACCGTAAATGGGCTTTTGCTACTTTTTGCTGGTCGTATCCTCCCAGATGGCGTCACTACAAAGTGCCCAGCTACGAGCCGCAAGTCATACAGTGGACATGCACTTGTGTGGTGGAAGGGTCAACCGATGGCATTATCATGCTCACCCTCCTGATCCAAGCTTGCGATGGGATCAAGACGAAATCCTTCGCTCGAAAGAGCGCGCGCAAGCCAAGGGGACGACGTCCCTGTCGAAAGCCCCGGATTCTCGTTGGATACTTTGATGGAAATTGCCCAAACGGGAGCCAAGGACATGGGGGAAAGACCCTTTTGGTTGGCGTCTACTCCGTAGAGAGAATCTGTTGCCGTCATGACAATAGCGCACGGAATGGAGCCAAAACTAGGCGGAAGCGGACCTCTGGAAGGGTGGCGTTTACGGGTGGTTCTACAGCCTCTCGCCGTTTCTTCTGTCCGGCACGACATCGCTATCCGTCATCTGTCGAGCCGCGCCACATATGCAACCTCTACTGCGTTCACTGGAGATGAGTTGTCTCGTTTCCCCAGTCTGCACTCTCCAGGTTTCTGACGCAGGTGCTCGGTGCTGGTGGGTTGTGCTGGAGCTGTCGGTACATGGCAGTACAAACCCCCGTTCAGACGAAAGACGCATAGCAGGGGTCTGTGCGGTAGAGGAAGAGTTGACCTGACGAAGAGGTGTGCAAGGGACATGGGAGGAGGAGAGGATTGGATGAAGAGTACTCTGTAGAGACGGAGGAGTAGAGATGGAGGTTAGTATGAGGAGAGGGTACTTGGATGACACCGAGTCAATTTGAGTGCTGCTAGTCACGCGGAGGGCCCACTCCGAGGGCCCGTCCAGTGTCTTCTTTGCTGCATTCAAGTTCAAGTTGTCGCTGTTAAACATGCCACTTTGTATCTGTAGTCTTCAGGATGATCCTCCAACACTCTTCAGATGAAGTTTTCTCTTTACATCTAGAAACTCAAAGACTTTGTCAAGCTTCATTAAAGACAGAGATTGCCTTCTACCCCTTGATGCTCATGCTCTTCGACGGCGTGTGTGTGTTAAGAACAACATGTGGCAGTCGCTCCCCTGACAGCATCTTTGGGCAAACTCTCTTGTTAGCCCCCTCCCAAATTCCATCAAGCCTTCCTTCGAAGAAGCTTCTTCGTACACTAGACACGCGTCAACAAACTCTGGGGATTGGAAAGGAAGGTGCATCCCTCCGCTAGCTAGCATGTCCCCTTCAAGGTAAACTAGGACCATCTATACCGCGAACACTGCCACAGCCACAACATACCCTTAACAACCCCATCCCTCCGGCAAGATCGTCAAAACCAACGCCACAGTGATCACCAACCTGTTGGTGGTTGTGGTCTCTTTGCATCAAGTCGATTGGCTTGCCTTGTTCGACCGTGGTGAGACACCGTTACTCCGTACGCTCTGGTTTTCTACGCAAGTGCGAAACTCACCACTGAATGTCAGAGCCTTCCTGGTCCAAGGCTCGCGATGACAATGACCCGTTTCCTCCATACGCACAATATCGGGGAAAGTCCCGAACGAAGACGCTTGCAAACCTTCAGCTCCGGTTCCGCAGGTCGAGTGCCGGTAAATCCAAGGGCATCCCTACTCCTCCGGACCCAACGCCAACGGCAACCCCATCGCCCCCGGCACAACAGAAGAACCCTTGGGGTTGCCAGAGTCAGCACCCTGTTGTCCGGTGATGGTGTTGACTTAATTTCAGCTAAGGCAGCTGTAAGGGGCATGCTGCGGCCTGCTTCAAGGGCTGCGCAATCGTGCCCAAACCCAAGAAAGGGTTTTAGGTTTTCCCAAATCAATTTCTTCCCGTGGCGACGTCGACAGCAACTTGTCAGTCACAGCTGAGTAATGGGCAGAAGTCTTGCTTGTTCTCAGTGGATCAAGTCAATAGCAACAAGTCTTCTGTGTTATGCACAAGCTGGACCAGCATTAGACTCATCGAAAACGGGCTCCCGCATACCGTCGCGGTACCCAAAGGAACATCCAGCTTGGCTCTTCGTCATCCATCTCAACTGGCTCGCGTCCGCTTCAGATGCCTTCTGCAGGCTGCCACACCAATCTCACCTCCCGTACAGAATAGATGCCCAGTGACACCCTCGCGCTTGAGATGAGCATGGAGAAACGGTCAATCTGATCCGGTCCACTAAAACGCCTCCCACCGCTTCTCCGCACATGCGGAGCAAAGGATGTTTCTTTCTCCTCACCTCCCACACCCCGTTGCAGTCATCCCGCCTCCTCCCCACACCACGCACACCACCTCTTGGGCTGTTACCACCACCACAACCAAAGATTCCATTCGGTCCTGCCCGTGGGATACGCCGGGTGCGGGACGGTGCCGAATCTCTCGCAAGACTGGTCTTCAAGGTGCCATCTTCACTGTATCTCATTCTCGAGCTTCCTCGGCCCTTTGAATGAGGCACACCTGCTCGTCTTGCCGACCCGAGTGCCTCGGGTTTCAAGTGCCTCGGAGCAGGTTGAGTGAGCGTCACTTTCGCAACCTCTTCCTCAAGTGTGTTGACCTTTGCTGGCTATTGGATCTAGAAGGCCCGAGGTGAGCATCAGCTACGAGCCCTGAGACCAGGTATGGGCATCCTCCTGGACTGGCACGAGTTGAAGAACTGTAGAAATTGGAGGAGCTAGCTGACGGCGACAGTGAGAGTGCGTGTGGGGCCTTTGGAGAACTTTTGATGGAGGGTCGGCCCTTGGTCCACCACCACCAGCCATGAACCCAGCACCTATGATGACGGCCCTCCCTCACAGCCTCTCAAAGCTGGGGGACCTCCTTTCATCAAGCCGGTCTTGGAGTGACTACTACTCAAGTCACCGACAGACGAAAACCCTCTCCATCCTGGTCGATGTGGTCGAAATCTCAGTCGCGCACAAAGTTGGGTGGCGGGATGCCATCCTGTGCCGTGTGTGTCTGGCTAACACCTCGCTACCAAATTTCGCATTCGAGTTTTGCAAAGCTGCCCGGGCAATCCATGACTGAGAGAGCAAGTGACCACAACCACCTGCGTAATCATTTCAAGGTTTACCATTTTCTCCTCAAGAAACATCACCTTCAGTGTATGGCATATCGTATTCTAGATGACTCCCCAAACGAACATACTCATCGATGTTAAGCTCCCCTTTCCCTCGGAAAACAATTAGCAACGGAGGAAATCCGACTCTCTAACGATGACGGATGAACGAGAATCCGGCCAGAAGAGTATGGCGCCACCAAATTAGGTTGCTCAAGTGTGCCACGAGGTATTTAGCCTGAATACGGCACGGCGGTCGCGCGTGGCGCCATACCATAACGGTCGTCGGTCCGAAATTCCCCAAGATGCGAAAAGATCGGACGCTTCCCTTGTCACCTCTCATTCGTGGCTTTTGGATAGAGGCCCCTTCTTTTCCTCCGCGAACCAATCGAGGCCCCCTGTTCTACCCCGAATCATCCACACTGCTCATATTACTCCAAACCCCAACATCACCAACCGCTCTTCAGATGTTCATGCTGTACGGAGTACATTGGTTGCCAACGGCAATGGCTTCGTTCTTTACTCTTAAAGTCTAGAGGCAGGCTTCTGTCGGCTCTGTGGCCTGCGTCAACGCTTCGGTTTAGTAAGTGCTGCATGTCTTGGTCAGTAAGTACCTTGTTTACTCCGTGTCTCGGTACCTTAAATTCGGTTACCTTAGTACGACTCCTCTAAAGTATCCACGGCAGGTATGCTCTGGAACCCTGGTCTTGTCTCCTTCCGTCCCCGGCTGTATCGTACCTTTCGGATGACGGTGTCATCGTCTCCTTAGCTCATTTCCGTCAGCTAAACGAGGCTTCTTCCGTTCGTCCTTCACGGCCACGTGGCAACGACACATGCCGTCTAGGCTTTCCAGTCATCTGGGGACATCGGCCGGTGAGCTAGTGTACCGGCAGATCGCCCTCATACCGGGCACTCTGCCTCGTCAGTAACTAGTCTTATGCTTACACCTTTGCCATCGCCGAAACTGAAGAACTCAAGCCCCGCATAGAGCTTCAAATACTATCTACCTATTTGAGACACGAGCTCAGTTTGCGGTTTCCAATCTGGTACGCGGCGGAGGCAAGTGCCCTGTCATCCGCTGGTATTCAAATCTCGTGCCGTCTTGGCTTAGCTAGGCTACCAAGAAATCCTCTCGACCAACAAATCAACATCAAGGGATCTGACTTCCATTGGCCACTGCTACTGTGATCGGTCTAAGCCAGAACGCCGCAACTCCACACATGTTGTTACGCTGCTCTGGGGGTAAAGTCAAGTGACGGCGAGTTGCCAACAGGATCTCGTGTAGCCCTGCCCTCAGGTCGCCACATACTCTGCAACTTGATGGAAGGCTGAGGACTATTCCACTCGAAGCAAGTTGCTTCACGGGCCCACCTACATTCTCAAAATCCTCGTATCCATGCCTGTATGATCCAATATTCGTTGGGGCCTTCGGCAGCTAGACCGCCCTTCCATCTAACGAGGATTACGTTCTAGATTCTCTCTCTGGAGACCCCTTCCCATCGTGTTAGGGCCGGACTGTCTAGTGACTTACACATTTCCTCCCATTTCTCCCAGATGTTCATCGACCGAGGAACCAATAAGGCTCCGATCTCGCTTGCTGGATCCAAGTTCCAGGGAGAGACAAGCGATCTGGGCCGCAGGTCCACTCCCGGCTTCTCGGGACCGGCATCATTCTCGGCCTCCTTAGTGGACTATCGGGGAGTTTCCCCGGCCCTTGCTGCATGTCGCATGAGACCACAGGCGTGAAAAGTAGACTTTCGGGACGAAAGTTCCTCCCGTGACCCGTAACTCCAGTCTGCGCTGATCTTGAGGTTCCTTCACACCCGTGGGCCCAGCTTCAATCCAGGCCGTGGCAGGGACAGCGTTTCTTGACGAGAGATGGGGAAGCCGGTCCAAGAGGTGGTACACCCATCCAAAACGAAGAAACACCATGATTTGACGGGCCGCCCACGAGCCGCTCAGTAAAGGAGAAAGCGGCATGCGACGGTGCCTGGTCAATGTGGGCAATGATGTGCTACTCTCGGGCGTCTAGGCCCGATCACACCTAATTGTTGCAACCTCAAGATAACCTGATTGGACCTGTCTAGATGATCATCCGATCAAGGAGCATTCACTGAAACCGTGTCGTTATCTACTAAGCCAACCGTCCCACGCCTAGTATTTAGTAGAAAATGAATCTATTGCGTTGCCACCACACGGCTTATCCGGGCCTGCTAACAGGACCCCTCATTAAGGGTTCTTCCTGCCAGACATAGTGAAGGAAGTCTCCAGATGACCATGAGCCAGGCCCAAGCAAGCTTCCGGCATTTGAACCTCATGTTCTGACACCTGCACTCAAAATCCGGGGTCGGGGGAAAGGAGAAATTTTACTGCATGCAGTGAGTGGAATGCTGCCTTTCCCCCCACCCACGTGCCGGCTAAAGTCGAATGTTGAGGCAACTCGGAGCTGAACTGATGCAGTCTACTCTATTTAGACAACGAGGAATTTTCGAAGCGTCATTAGCGGGGAAGGTTTCCTCGCAAATGTTGTGGCGGCGTCTGTACTTATGCTTCATCTCAAAGCTACAACTAGGTGTCATAAGGGTTAAGCCGATAGTCGAGAATGAGAGAGTCGTTCTAGCTGAGAATCGTTCTAGCTTTGATGCCATTGTCTATCCTCTCAAAGTTGCTGGTGTTAACATTCTCCAGGGCACCGGACATGGTCTTTGCTAGATTTGGCTCAGATCTTGAGCATCCCAGCTTCGTGTTACCGGCCATCGAAATGGATCAAATCGTCACGCAGCTGTTCTATCTCGCAACGCCGACCAACCCTGCGAGCTTCTAGGAACGATTCCTTCCGTAGACCTTTGATAGAGCAATAGATACTAGCACGCATTGAAAGCTGCCGCTAACAAACTGAGATTCTCAAGATGTATGAGGATACACCCTGCCTTCTCGAATAAGCTTAGGCTATCAGCCTCGTTTGGTATCCCATGGTAGTCTCAAACTTGGATTCGGTTGATGGCGATGTTACACCCCGCATTCTTAACTCTACTACGGAGCCATGGCTCATCCATTGGAAATGGACTCAGTGGAATCACTTTAGCGTAAATAGAATAGTCGGAAGGAAGGGAATCCCTCTTGATCTTCCCCGTTAGGAAGCAATGATGATTGACTCTCGTGTGCTGAAGTTGATCGATAGAAATTTGACCCTCGAAACTTCTATTGGCAGGCTTTCTATTGCTTCTAGAGTCGAGCACAATCTATAGTTGAGTACTTGATTAGGAGGTAATAAGACTTTCTAGACATTGCCTTCAAAAGGATTCAAGGAGGTATGGGGCGAGCAACAAATCCGAGATAAAAGCAGTAGAAACGTGTTAAATGGAATAAGAGTGAAGGCGATAGAGGAATGAAAAGCGCCTGGGTTAGACTCAAAGGACATATTTAAAATAACCTGATGTTCATGCCACAGATGTCGAGTGGTCCCGGAACGGGTTCACCAATAAGGAGTCGGGAATTGGATTTTATCGGTCGCTTATTTCGTAAGCGACGTGTCGTCGTAAAAACAAGACCTTCACATTTGCCCCATGAGCCAGCTAGCTATCTGACGCTGGAAGGATCTTGGATGTGAAAAACATGAACGACCGTACCTTATGGAGAATGAATGGCGAGCGGAATACATATCGCGATCTCTGCAGAAAGACTAGAGGCCTATCGGACGCTATCGTACTCATTCTTATCAGTGGTGTGCAGCTGCAATGCTCGTCGTGTCAGCCATGGGTCGCTCTGAGGAATATAAATTCCGCTACATCGTGTCTCTGGCAAATTGGACCAAAGCGTGGTCCAGGTGGGTGAACATCAAATGAGGGGATCAACCTATCTTTTCCTATCTTTGGGAACTACGATCTGGTTTGACCTCTTATCATAAATCAAAACTTAATTTTTTTTTTGGTAAACCTGCTATTTTCATTCTTGACACGTATTGGACCAGGTTTCGTTTTTAGTGATTGCTTGAAAAAATGGTGATCAATTCTCACGGAGAAAAACTCAGATTTACGGACGAGGTATTGTCCGACAGTAGCCTGCCACCTTTACAGATCGAGCTGCTAGATGTTTCTTCATCGTCATCGGCTCCTCACACCTTAGGTGACTTCACTTTACCAGCCTTTCAGACAGCAATTGTGACACCAAAATTGGGCCCAAAGCTCAACCAAGAGGTTCAGCTAATTCCCGTGCAACATCCAAGGCCTGGTGAAGTTGTTGTGAAGATAGCTTACACAGGAATTTGCGGCAGCGTAAGTGCCCCCCTCAACCATTTTTATGATGGCTCTGAACAAATTTTATTCACAACCTTTACTTACAGGATGTTGTCTTCTCTCTCGGCCCTGAGGACGGCCTCCGTGGACCAAACCACATCGCAGGCCACGAAGGCATCGGGCATATCGTCATGAGCCACGACAAATCGCTCCTCGGCAAACCAGTTGCGGCAAGATATCTAGCATCTTACTGCCGAAGTTGCCATTACTGTATTCGCGGCGTTCCAGAATCCTGTCATAAGCAGACGACATTTCCTCGCCACCACAATGGCACATTCCAGCAGTACATGACCGCACCTTATACCTCACTTATGCCTCTGCCAGATTTTATCTTTGATGAAACGGCGGGTGTGAGTTTTGGTCTGTATACTACGGCGCTGTGCTCTGGTGCCGCGGCACTCAAAGCCTTGAAAGCGGCGACTCCTGCCCCCGGGGACGTGATCGTTGTTAGCGGGGTGTGCGGCGGGATAGGACATCTGGCCGGCATAATGGCTCGCAACGTGTTTGGGGCAAAGGTTATTGGCATCGATTTGCCGTGGAAGGTTGAAGCATTGGGCTCAAGGGCTGCTGACGTCTTTGACGAATTCATCGCTGCGCCTTTCAATGCGTCGGAGAGGATTGAGGTTATGGAGAGGATAGCAGACGCCTGTGCTCGATTGCGCCGTGTAGGAGAGGCTCGCCGCGGCGCAGACTCTGTTCTAGTCACATCAGGTGACGAAAGTGCTTTTGAAGGGCTGATTGACTACGTTTGCGACGGCGGCTCGGTGATTTGCGTAGGGTGAGTTTACTTCCGGGCTATTTGTGACCGACGTTGCTGACATCTTTCAGTGTGACGAAATCACGGGGCAACTTGACAATTCCCTTGGCCTTGATGGTTGAGCGCTCCATCAAGCTTCAAGGTCTGTTGATGGGTGGATGGGATGAGAGTTATAAGGTCATGGAGTATATCAGGGATGGTAAAGTGAAGCCTATAGTTACGGAAGTCTGTCTTGAGGATACACCATCCCGAATGGCAGCTTTCGGGAATCATTTAAACACGGGAAAAGTGGTTGTTAGGGTGGACTAGGACAAGCGCTAACTTGAATTCGAAAGTGTCTGCCACGAAACTCGCGTTATCGAATCGAGACCCTCGTCAGTAATTGCAAGTTGTGGTCAAAGTTCCTGCCTTGTGAGGAAATTCTTGAGTCGATTACTCGTCAACAATGAGGTGAGCCTGACACCCCGAGTAGGCCTTGCCGAAAGTCGCCTACCACGCCATTCTTCACACTGAGTGTGATACCGAGACCCGAAGGCTTCAATTGGTATGCCGGGATCGCCTATACCATTGCCATTTATATTCCGACCATGACGATATTGAGAAACTGACGCTTCTGACGTGAATGATTGAAAGTAACGGGAAATCAAGAATTTAAGTCGTGATATTGGTGTGTAGCCTAAGGTACCTATATTGTTGTGCTTGCCGATGCTATTCAGGCACGTGGGTAGAACATTGAGTGTTGTCGACTTCACGTTGAATCGAATACAAGAAACGTCATTGGACACATCTGAGAAAACGATCTTGCTTGATTTCTCTCCACAGATTCACTACGCCAATACACTGGCCCCTTTCCCATGCCAACAATTCCAACCCTCGGAGCCTTAAGTACCTTAGTGTCTTCCAACTGTAACCCCGGAAGATGTATTGTAATGTCGAACTAAGTTGACTGTTCCCTCTTAGACTGCATCCTTTCTTCAATAACGACGGCCTTGTCTGGACCAGACTCAGAGACTGCGTGAATGGTTCGAAGGTTCTTCTGCCACGTCCGTGAACACCATGCAGGCACATTCTCTTCAAACAATTTATCAATCTGTTGGAATCAGCCATGCGCATGGGACTATGAATTTGATTTTCCGAGCAGTGCAACTCACCTCCATTCTGGAAAGCCCCGTGAGTTCTGGGACACAGGTGTATGCCCAGACCAGAGACAGAACAGTCATGCCAAACCAGATGTAGGACACCTTGACTCCGAGGTCTCCGGCAGTCTCATCAATCATGTAAGGCGTAACAAATCCAACCAGCCACGTGATGATCCAGTATGCCGTCAACACGATGGAAGATTGGTAATTTCTCGCACGGTCGGACAGAGGCTCTGCCATCAACAGCCAGCCTACTTAATTCGTCAGTGGAGTTCTCTTCTGCAGCGTTCTAACGCAGACAACTTACCCCCGATACCCCAAGTTGGTGCGTATGAAGCGATAAAGAACACTGCCCCAACGATCAGCATCATCTTGTCAGCTTTGCTGTCCGGAGCAGCGCTATGGATGACGCCGGTGAGTAATTGGGCGAGTCCCATAAGGATCCCGCCCGCGATCAAAGATCTTCTCCTTCCCAGACGCTCAATGAGATACATGGAAGGTGCTGTGAAGACGCAATTGGTGATGGCGAGAACCAGAGAGATCAGGTACGAGTCGTCGACACCCGCCGCGGCAAAGAAGGTTGTTCCGTAGCCGAACCAGAAGGTGATGCCTGTGGATATAGTGAAGAATGACATCGCCACGCCAATGAGAGTTCTTCTGAGATCGGTTCCTCGGAAACACTCGATGAATCTTGCGCTTCCGTGCGTATTCTGATCTGTAATGTAATTTTCGATTTCGACCATGGCGTCGTCAACTTCTAAGGAGTTAACGTCTGCATTGCGGAGAATGGCAAGAGCACGGCGCGCTTCGGATTTCTGGTTCTTCTTGGCAAGGAGGAGTGGCGACTCGGGACAGAAAAAGACACCAATGACAACGATCAGTGCCAACACCAGCTGGAATGCGATCGTAATGCCTACTTCCGGGTCAACCTCTGCCAATATGTGGTCATCTTATTTTCGCAACTTACTTACGCCAACTCCGGGAATCGTTATACTTGGAAGTTGCCAGGCTGATGCCACAGGCTATGACATTGCCTGTGGTGAGGAATTGGGTGTAGAATGCCATCAATTGTCCTCGATTCGTTGGCGTAGAGCATTCCATGAGATAGGCAGGAACCTGCATCATAACAATCAGCTGTCGTTCAAACTAACAAGAAGTGTGAAGCTGAGTTCTTACTGTGATAGAGATGAGGCCGAGAGCAATACCAAGTAAAATACGACCCACGATGAATATGGGTGGGGCAAGTCCAGAGGTCTGGAGCGATACGCCTGCAGCATAGCTGATTGAGGCTGTGAACAAGTTGCCGCGCCGGCCAACTGCGGAAGATCAGCAAGTTTGACAACACTCTAAGTTCAAAACGCCTAAAGACTTACGCAGATTGGTAAGAGGTGCTACTAGCTGACATCCTACAAGAGCTCCAACGACGAATAACGCAGAGAATACGCTCCGAGTATATGGAGTCAAGTATACGTCTCCGGTGACGCTATGTTTGACGCCGTAGATTCGGGTGAAGTCTTCGGATCCAAGCACGCCGTTCAAGTACCCGGAATCATACCCAATGATAGTTGCTAATGCAGCTTCTTAGAGACGCCACGATTGTGTTGCCAGGACGAACTCACCAGACGAGAAGATAATGCTGTACACGAGAATTTTGCGGGCTGATAACATTTTGGGTAATAGATGAGGAAATTCGAAGATTGATGGGCTGCCTTGCACTCGAACTTTCTCATTTTAGTGAGCGCATGCCTCATGATTTAATAAGTCAAGCCATCGATACGTATAAACTAGACTGATAGACCCAGCCTTCTGGCCAGGGTCACTTGGAGGCGTCTATAGAATTTGGTGAAGACCTTTCCGTAAATGGTCTATCAATCATTCTGTTGGTCTCGTCGAGAGATAGGAATTCGCATTCCGTCTAAGGGGGCAAGGCCATCTCTTATCTCACTGGCCTATGAGCTTGGGCTTTGCGACAATCTGTCAAACTCTAAATTCATAATAGCGATGACTTCTTATCAGCTGCACCATGACTAGATTGCATGGCTCTGATCTACTATCAAGCTGAGTCTTGCCTTACAGTGTACTGCAGGACGTGGAGGCCTGTCAACCCTGAGTTTGGCCTGTTCTTGATGCTGATTCGAAGAGTCGAAATTGCCGAGTCTTTTAGACTCCTTCATCAGATATCTGTTATCAATGAGATTCCAGAGTCTGGCCTAATCTTAACGCTTGACAGTGTTTGAACTCGCCGGAGAGATGAAGTGAAGACGTGATTCTTCGAGTTAAGGTGCCATAGGAAGTATTTTTACTTCGGCGGGGATCAATTTTGAAAAGATTGCATGCCTATATGGGCGAGGGTCTCATGCGCTCCCGTCGTTTCGTTTACGAGTTGCGGAAATGCACTTTCAATGTCCGCATTAAAAAGCCCATCGTGACAGCCACAAGAAGGCACGAGAAGAAATATCTTGAAGTTTCAATTCTTATTTGCGACGATATCTCTCAGACAGCATGAGCCACAACTTCGATTTCCACGCGCATGTCATCTTCTCCCAAACGTGGAACGCTAACACAGGTCCACAGAGGTTGATGATCCGGCATCCACTTCCTAAAGTTACGGACCATCGCTTCCAGAGCTTCATTGTTGATTGGGACGTGATATGAGTTGACACGGTAGACTTGGGTCCATCCTTTGCCGCCAGCGTCCTTAAGACATCGATCCACATTCTCGAAAGCTAGATCGATTTGGGCGTTGATCTCCTTTTCGAACTCTCCAGTGATCGGATCCCAACCACCTTCAGTAAACCGAGTTAGGCGTAACTTCGATGGAATAGGCAACAGATGAGCCTTTGGGGGAAGGATGTGGTGGGAAAGCTCACCTTGTCCCGAGCATTCAATGCGATCGCCGACTCGTACTGCCTGGCTGTAGGAGTACCTTTTCTGCTTTTCAACCCCCTGTCCCTCGTACGCAAAGAATTGTAGATGAGACATGACTTCGGGCTTCCTCAATTGCGGTGACGTGATGGCTCAGTGTGAAAAATGACGACAGACTTGCAACTAGCAGATGATCGATGAAGACGAAAGGGTTCGTCGCAAAGAATTGGATGCAAGAGAAAAGGTCGGTAAGTTCCAGTAGAAGAAAAGTCCTCCCTGCGGCTTTTGCAATGTACACAAGTTCCATATCTGGAGAATACCGACGAGTCCACCAGGGCATTTAAGGAACTCCGCGAATAGCGAAATACATAGACACCCCTCACGCACTGGTAAGACTTTGAGGCGCGGAATTCAAGTCCCTCGCGAGATAGCATGGGTGCACGGATCGCACCCTTCTATCCCAACAACCCGAATCCGAGGCGGAATTTGAATTCCTTGAGGATTTTCGATATCGAATTAGGCTCTCACGTCACACCCAATGGATGAGCTGGACCCTAATCTGAGTCTTACCCCTAACAACTGTCGGAGTTGAAGACTAGACCTCATTCTTTTCTCCCACCTTCCCAGCTTTTCGCAAGCCAGTCGAACTGATCAGTGTGGCCACAACAGCAGCAGCGAAGCATGTCCAAAATCCGCTCCAGTAGCCCTGCAGCAGAGAAGAATTGAATGTCACGGAGCCGCTCGTAGCCATTTTTTCGCTTCCAGCAGCTTTCTGTACCGAAGCCGCAATCATAGCAGTGACAGCCAGGCCGATGCTGTTGCCTGACTGCGCAACAGTGTTAAAGACGCCACCTGCGAGAGCCTAGCTCTTGCCCGGGAAGTTATTCGTAATGATCAGGTTGTTGATGTTGAAGAGGAGGTCGGTGCTGATGACGCTGATGATCATGGCCGGGAAGGCAGACTTCCAGTACATCCACAACACATCCTGTAAGGCAAAGATAAGAGGTGCCGCGATGCTCATGATTCCCCCGATGAGGCTCAGCATACCCGCGTCGACTCTGTCCATGAATTAGGCTGCGACGAGGTTGGTACCTAGACCAGAGACAACCACTGGCAGAAACCGTACAGCCGTCTGCAAGGCATCTAGCTGCTGGAACTCCTGATAATAAAGAGTAGCCCAGTACGAAAAGGCGTTGAACCAGGACCAGGTGAGTAAGACGGAGAGACAGGCGGTTGCAAACTTGAGTCGGTGCCAAATGCTATTTGGAAGAACGGCTGGGCGGCCAAGTCTCTCCTGACGACTCTCCCAGAAGACGTAAAATGGAACAAGCAATCCGGCAACAATTGACAGGGCAATGGAGTGAGGCCGGCGAATAAAGCTGGTGACGCCGTTTGTCAGCTCGGAGAAGAGGTAAGACAGGAGAGCCAAACAGGCACTAGCAGAACCGACGCCGACCCAGTTTAGCTCATGGGCAAGACGGTGGACCATGCTCTTCAGTTGGACTCGATCCGATCCCGGGAGACGCCTAGGCAGACAGAAGAAGGCGAGGATCATGAATGCCGCATTGATGCTGGTGGACGTCCAGTAGCCGGCGCGCCGACTCGCGGCCTGGACAAAGACACCGCCCAAGACGGGGCCCCATGGCGAAGCCAACTGGATTACCGCCACCAAAGACCGCGAAAGCAACATTGCGGGTGCGACCCGCGGGTAAGCTTGAAGTTATGATGCTCACAGCGGGCGGCATGCGAAAGGACATTGCAACACCTTGCACCCGTGCGGAAGGCGATGAGCTCTCCTCCAGTGCGACTGAGCGACACTGCCAAGGTGAAGACCGTATATAATAACAGGCCCGTCAAAAAGACGGGACGGTTACCAACAACGTCGGCGATGGTGCCAAGGGGAAGGAGACCGCACGACAACCCTAGAGCATAGACAGATGCTGGCCACAGTTGCACACTCGGAGCAATGTCGAGCTCCCTAGCTACCGCAGGCAGAGCCACGGTAAGCAGGCCGGAGTTGAAGGTATTGAGAACACGGACGCGGGCGTCACTAGAATGCCAGCCCTATGAAGCTTACTTGGAGGAGCCATATGTTCCGAGGGTGTCGCTTCTGGGGAGGGTAGCCTCAAAGTCTTGTCTGCTGCCGCCAAGGTCTGCTTGTGAAGCGGCACTGGCTACTGTGGCTCCCACGAGCGGCTATGTTGACGTTTCTTTCCATCTCGCACCGATGTTTGACCACCGAAGTCGAAAAAGGTATCGGCGTTGGCCTTCGTCTTGATGATGGTTTCTAGTTCGAACATTGTGTAAGACAGAACAGAAAACGAAGGTGTGAGTAGGTGTCGACTGGTATGTGAGGACTATCTTCTAGCCGGGACCGAGAAAACGAGGCGTTTTATCCCATGATTCCCTCCTCTGCTGACTAAATGCCGCCATAGTAGGTTCTTTGGCTGATCAGATGAGAGATTGTACAATATGACGCCAGGATTATACCACTAAACACAATGAGAAATTGTTATTGTTCGCCAGAGTCCATAGTTGGTAGACATTTGGTGGAAGCTGGCATGTAGATGCTCAAGTTCAGGACAACTTGGAAACTGGAGTTTGCGCTTATCAATCAATTTATTAAACTTCGCCGCCTACCAAACAACCTGGTCCAGTAGCGATAACAAGTACTAGCATTGTTCTATTCATGTCACTTCCTAGTCGAAGTTTCATTATCCGTAACAATGCTATCAAATGTTCTTTCCCCCTTTTCCTCTCGGCAGAAACTCCGCAGACTGGATCTGAAATTTTGAAAGCAGAAGATATCTGATTGGGTAGTATTACGAAACCGAAACAGAGTTCACAGATGCTGACTTTCGTACTTCGTATTATTACCTATGATATCGAGTAGTGCTTTCTGAAGACCTAGTATCTGATATTTATTCAACAATTGCACCCAGTCAAATGGCAGCTTCACTAACAGTTCCTGAGACAGATCACTCCATTCCTCGGCTTACACCTCTGCTTGCTGCTTGGTTCATCGTTCTACCTGCCGTTACTTTTGCACTATTTGACCTTGGTCTTGGAAACCGCTACAGCACAATCCCGGCTCAAAACATGACGACCCCTTTCCTTGACACCATCGCGGCCCGCCGATCCTGGTACGCCCTGGGAAAACACCTGACCATCGATCAAGGCAAAGTGAAGGCCATGGTCGGTCATGCTATGCAGTCGGTTGCTAGTTCATTCAATTCGCAATCCAACCGCGCGGTCGTGCTCTTCGGCTCCGAGCATGACAAGCTGTGGGATATTGTGACTAACGTGCTCAAGGCCCAAGTCACTACGGATCAATGGGTATCTACGAGCCAAAAGACAGCCGGATTCAAAGCCGCTGTCGGAACTGTATGTCACTCAATCAGTCCATCCTCCACATCAAATTCACCAGCGTGATCTAGACATGCAGACGCACTTCAACGAAGGTTATGTTCTTTGTGGACGGCGAGATAGTCCAAAGTTTCGCCAGAAAGTTTCCAACTTATTCAGACCAGTTCCCGTCTGGGCGGCACAGTCGAATGCCATGTTGCAGCACACCATTTGGACGGCGCTGTCAGCCGAAGGGCTCGGCGCCTACCAACAGCATTACAACCCCCTGATTGATGAATTGGTAGCCGCAGCCTGGTCTCTGCCACCTAACTGGCGGCTGACGGCTCAGCTTGTGTTTGGCGAGCGGATCGGCCCTAGTCCGGCGCTGGGGAAGCAGAAGCCATTAGATGATAAACTGAAGGTCTTTGGCGCAGATACAGGAGTCTAGGGCAGACTGGGGTCCATGAACATAAGCTATAAGGCTATTTAGACCGTTTGTGAATTTTCAAAACTAAACAAGACCCAGAAGTTTGAAGCAGCGCTTCCCTCAGCGTACCGATACAACCCGACCTCGACCTTCTGCTTAATATACTTGTTGTCTCTCAGCTGAGTATTTAGGTTTCTTGCTACTAGATGATAAATGTATCAACTTCAGGATTGAAATAAGGGACTTCATATACGCAGTAATATGCAAGGCAATCGGGCTAAGAGCCGCTCTCTGTACATTGTCCAATGGGCCATGGCACCTTTATTGGATACCGGTGTGACAAATATGAATAGAAATGTTGTGCTGAGAAGTTTGACAGCAAATAGGCGCCTTGGAAGACCGAGCCCGAGGCCGAACTGGAAGAAAACAGGGTGGCATCGGCCTCGGCTTCGCGGGGTTCGGGGTAGGCGGCTTGAGTGACTGTTACTGCAATTCCAGGGGAACCACACGGTCCATCACTGTCTCAGCCGAATTACCAGTGTCAGGCTTGTTCGCCCTAGGTTCTGTCCCCCTCCATTACACCATGCTAGGCCCCTAGCTAGACACAAGCTAATGTACCCCGCGATCCAAACCTCACGACGCCCAATTGCTTGGTGACTCTTACAGGTAAATCCAAGACATTTGTGTGATCAGGGAGTCTGCTGAAGATCTTCTATATAATATAAGATAGTTATCTATAGTCTCAAGCGGTGATTAAAAAGTAATGAATGAAAATCTCTTAATTAATCTGTCTAACCGGACCCAGAAACTTGATGGTCCATTTACCTTCGCCTTGAAACGAGAAGAATCCTGATAACTTAGCTTTGCAATCGCAACGTTCCGTCTTCTCAACTCAATTCTTTTCCTGGCCGCTACTGTTTTGTTCCTTCTTTGGAAAGTAAGCAAAGTGGGATCTAGGCCACCCGGCTATCCGCCCGGTCCACCAACATTGCCAGTGCTAGGCAATTTGCATCTCGTTCGTGAACCAGTCAACCACACTGAGACAGCGGTTTTACTAATAGCATGGACATAGATGCCGAAGTTGAGGCCACATCTCCAGCTGCAGAAATGGGCCAAAGAATATGGGTAAGACTTCACATTTACCTTTCAGAAGAATAATCCAAGGAACACAGCAGAAAAAGAGCCGAGGGAAGTGAAAGTATAAATTTTGACTGGATGGAGCGGTAGGCCGATTTACTCATTAATACTCGGCACAAAAGTCATGATAGTCCTATCATCAGATACAACTGTCAAAGAAGTGTTGGACAAGAGGAGCGGCAATTACTCTGACCGGCCAGATATGTTTATCAGCCAGAAAGTAGCCAGCGGCGATCTCCGCCTTGTTGTGATGGTAAGTCGACGACAGATGGGACAAATGACAAAGGTACAGAAGGGAACTAGCAAGCTGACAATTTTCAGAGATACGGAGACAACTGGCGCATGATCCATCGCATGGTGCACAACATCTTGAACATCAAGGCTGCTGTCACTTACGTCCCTTACCAGGACCTCGAAAACAAGATTCTTTTGAATGACCTCTTGGAAACTCCTTCCGATTTTCTCCAGCACATCAGAAGATTTACCTACTCTCTTTCTACACAAATGATATACGGTTATCGCTGTACTGATAATCATGACCCAAAGCTTCAGCAGCTGTTCGAGGTAATCATGTCTTCTCATCACAGCTGATGTTAACAAAAAGTAATTCTGCGCAAAACTGACTATTGATGACGCAGAGTTTCGAGAACTGGGGCAAGTTGTCCGGAAGCTCTAGCGCCCAGTTGGCAGACATCTATCCTTTCATTCAGAGCTTGCCTAGTTCTATTGCACCGAACGTTAGATACGCCAAGCAACTGTACAAGATAGAGAGCCAGAACTATCTCCGACATTGGATGATGTCGAAGAAAGCGCTCGACGACGGAACAGGACTGGTGAGTGCCATACCTAGTCTATGACTCGGGACCAAGGGATTCGTGCTGGGACCCCTTTTTGACAAGTGACTCAACAGCCCTGCTTCTGCAACGATATATATCGCGCTCAGACGCAAGAGGGCTTTAGCGACGATGCTGCTGCTTATATCAGCGGCTCGCTGCTCGAAGCAGGCTCAGACACAACGGCAGGAACTCTCTATGGTTTCATTCAGGCCATTATCGTCTGGCCAGAAGTACAGATAAAGGCCCAGGAGGAGATTGATCGCGTGGTTGGTCATGACCGTCTACCCACCATCGATGACTACCAGAATCTGCCTTATATCCGCTGCTGCATCAAGGAGAGCCTGCGGTGGATGCCGACTGTTTTCCTTGGTGTACCTCATGCAGCAGTTAGGGATGACGTTTACATGGGTTACAATATCCCGAAAGGCGCGACTGTAATTAACAATGTGTGGTGAGTCAATCCTTGTAGAAGTCACGTACCAGCGCCCTTGTCGAAGCGGCAAGTCTAATGCCTCGGCGCAACACAGGGCCATTCATATGGATGAAGAGCGCTCACCAAATCCCCGCGTATTTGAACCCGAGCGCTTCAGGGACGATCAGACGACACTCTACCAATCCGCCATGGGAGACACGAAGAAGCGTGACAATTTTGTCTTCGGCGCGGGACGACGCCTTTGCCAGGGCATTCATATCGCTGAAAGATCCCTATTTCTGGGCATGTCGAGGCTCTTATGGGCATTCGACTTCTCGCCTGCCCTAGATATTCGAGGTAATCCGGTGAAATACGACACCGAGGACCTCGTCGGTGGCATTACTGTGCAGCCATCTGAATATCCCGCCCGAATCAAGCCTCGGTCGGCGGGGAAGGCCACTATCATAAGACACGCTGCTGAGAAGTGCAAGCAGTTGCTGGACCCGGTCACCATGCAATGGAAGCAGGTCCCAGAGGGCATGGCCTTCAGTACATGGATGCCAGACAGCAACTATGAACACTCCGACGACATGTAGCTACTTGTAGTATGACTTGAGATAGACAAATCAGTTTAGTTCAGGGATGTATAAACTTCGAATTTCCTGGATGTCCGTGCCCTGATTGAAGCTGAGCGAGATTGAATGGGAAAGAAATGAAGACATCTCATTTGAGAAGTTATCATTGAGAAACATATGGTCATGGCTAGACGGCATTTATAGTTCAAGGGAGTGATCTACATGGCGGGCAATATTAATTTCCCCAATACTGAGATTGTGATTTCATGAAGCACGAAATTAATCAATGTCTCATGCTAACTCGGGAACCCAGAAGGGACCAGTGATATGAGGGCATGTTCTAGATTAATGACGCATACTAAGAAATATTTGAGGTTACGAGGATAAGGCAAGGAGGCCGAGACAAAAGACTACAAGGTCAAAGATGGATGGATTGATGCAAATTGCAACTTTACTATCAAAAAGTGAGGTTTTCCCGAGCATTCATTTATGGCGTCGCCTCTGCGCTAACTTTGTTGGGAATGCTCTATGCCTTCACCCCCGATTCAGGCACTTCTATTCCAGGCTT